GACTTGGGGGTCATCATTGACCACAAGATGAACATGAGCCTGCAATGTGATGCGGCGGCTAGTAAAGTGACCAAAACGCTGGCTTGCATCCATAGATGCTTCTCAAGCAAATCTCGGGACGTCATTCTCCCCCTGTACTCGGCCTTAGTGAGGCCGCAGCTGGAGTACTGTGTCCAGTTTTGGGCTCCACAATTCAAAAAGGATGTGGAGAAGCTTGAGAGAGTCCAGAGAAGAGCCACGTGCATGATCAGAGGTCAGGGAAGCAGACCCTACGATGACAGGCTGAGAGCCCTGGGGCTCTTTAGCCTGGAAAAGTGCAGGCTCAGGGGTGATCTGATGGCCACCTATAAGCTTATCAGGGGTGACCACCAGTATCTGGGGGAAAGTTTGTTCACCAGAGCGCCCCAAGGGATGACGACTAGGTCGAATGGTCATAAACTACTGCAAGATCATTTCAGGCTGGATATAAGGAAGAATTTCTTTACTGTCCGAGCCCCCAAGGTCTGGAACAGCCTGCCACTGGAGGTGGTTCAAGCGCCTACATTGAACACCTTCAAGAGCAAACTGGATGCTTATCTTGCTAGGATCCTATGACCCCAGCTGACTTCCTGCCCTTTGGGCAGGGGGCTGGACTCGATCTTCCGAGGTCCCTTCCAGCCCTAATGTCTATGAAATCTATGAAACTCCTAGGGATTCTAGCACCACCTCAATGGTGAAGACTGAGAAAGAGCTGAACTATGTATGACACCTTCTCAAATTTCTTTGCCAAAGTTGAATCCCCCCCCCATCACACACACTTACTAGTAGTGATCATGAGGCCAATTGGGGTAGTTCGAGTAAGGGAAATTATATGAAAGTAGGAAGAGAAGTGTGTTGGGAGTTGTTACTGGCCTTTCAGTAATAGGAAAGGAAAACAACACTACCCAAAGGTTTAATGGTGGAGAGACTAGTGTGGCAGCATCAGTACGAAGACCAATGCTTCATCTTGAAGAAATAAACACATCTGCCTGTGTCAATAGAGAGGGCATCTGTTCTGGTACAAGGGTTTGGAGCTGACATGCACTTTTCCCACTCTGATCCTGCAGGGGACAAAGAATCAGCCTAACTTATCTGCAGCTATCAGATCTCTGGTCCCAGCTTAAATATCACAAGGCCTGTGGTACTGACTTTCTTTTACCGCCTATTTTACGACGAGGATCAGCACCAAGTCAACCAAGTTCCTATCTCCCATCTTAGGTGGTGGAGACAGCACTGGATCTCTGTACCTTGTTTGAAACATTAGGAACAACTGTCTGAAGGGCTAACAGTCTTTTTATTACTGGTGAAAGAAGCCCCCATTTACAGGAGGTGGAAAGAATGAAGTCGCTTAGAAAAGCATCTTTTCAGAGTTAGAACAAAGCCATCCTGAATCTGGCACACTATTCCAAAATCTCTCTCAAGGTATCTGAAGGACCAAGTAAGTTCCAGTGAAGAAGTACTTAGAGAACAACCAAAGTGTGGAAGATGAATCTCACCAAAACACAGAAGAGTCACTGAGTGGAAAAAAGTAGTTCCATAGTGGCAATGGCTTGGGTTCTGTCATTACACACAACAGCTTTCACTGCTTTTACACAAGCAGATACATCTGTATACTTCTCTCTCTACTTTGAATTCTGAAGCCGATTGGAATGCAGGCTTACTTACTTGGCAAATACATATTTTTCCCCCTTCACTCCAGCTGCTGACAGACTGAGCCCAAGATGCAGACAAAATAGCTGTTATAGATTATACACCTTCATTGCAGATGTGTCAAGGAAGAAATTCAACATTTTTTCCCCCCGTTAAGAAAAATCACACTTCTTCTTATGACGTGAAAGCTGTTTCTTGTGAATATTGGCTGTATGCTTAGCATCTCAATACACCGAGGCTGGACTAAAACCTCATTACAGCTGGTAGGTCTAACAGCTAACCTTTGTTCAGAAAAGCAATTGCAAGTTGTTTATGAAATAAACAGTTGAAATACAGCCCTGCTAACTACCCCAAAGAGATGTGATGGCTGTTTAAGAAACTGAACAATGATGGGGGAAGGGTTGGCCTAGGAGCTGAAAAGAAATACATGGGGCTGCACATGGTCTGAAGTGGAGAGAGCATGTTGTGGAAGGAAGCAGCAGAAAAACTGCATGGCCTGGGGAAAAAGCCAACCGATCTTTTGGACAGACCGCTGGCTGCAAGGAGAATTGTTGCAAAAGAAACTCTCTTTCATGTCTGATTCCTCCAGTGTTCTGTCAGATCCTGTAAATAAACAGGATTGTATAACAAAAAGGTCACAAACTCAGCCATCATCAATTTCTCCTACTCCCTGCAAGACCCTGAATACTGACTAACAGTAGGCTCCAAAGCAGTAATATTATCGATCTAGTGTTTCTACTTACATTTCTACTGCTTTGGGGGAAGTATTCTAGATGTATGTAATCATATAAATCTTTACAGTGGATAAAACTAGATGCCTCACACTCTGCTTCCGCTTAAGTCAAAGGAGGTTTTCACCACTGGCTTCAAGAACACCAAAGATAATAAGAAGTCAAAAGTCACTTTTGGAAGTCCTTAAGTTCAGCTTTCAAAGCATTTTTATAAATCAATTTCTGCTATGAAAAAAATGTATACGTTTTTATGTTATGTTTATAACAAGGCTTTTAAAGAAAATAATAGTTACAGATATTCAACTGCATCAGACTTCAAAAGAAAAAAAGATTACGCATACAATACAAAAATACAAAAAATTGTTTTTAGAACTTATAAACTCAAAGTCTAAGTGGTCAGAGCTTTTCTAAAATAAACTTTTAAAGATGCACTTTCCTCTCTGCACCAGCTATGCTCAACAAGGTCTTAAGGAGGTGTGAAAAATGGTTCATCCAAACCAAATTCTACAATCCATTTCAAACATGAAAGATTAATTTAGCAGAGGACACTATCAGGTACTTTTAGTCACTAAAAGTGCAGTTGTTCTCAAAATATTTTTGTTCAAGACTCGTTGATACAAATGCTTTCATAATTCAAAGTTAAGTAAAATAGTTTTAAGGAATTTAGACTCTTCCAATGTTTGAAATCTTACCTCACTCTTCCAAAATATGAGAAATAGAAAATGAAACTGATTTTGATTTGGTGCTACTGTTTGAACCAGATCTGTAATCAAAAGTTAGATTTTTAAAGCTGCCAGTAATGAGAGTAATAAAGGAATTTTCTAAACCTGATAGTGTCACTTGAATCCATAAGTATAGTTTAGCATGTAAAGGCATATTTAAAAATGGCAAAATACAGAAAGTGCATCTTAACAGTTCTTGTACTTATAAACAGTAAGTTATTGAATTTTTGGTGTGGCTTTTTTTCCTTTTAGGAGTCATACAGGAAACCATTTCAACCAAATATGAAGCTTAATTTACATATATTTATCTTTTTGGTGGTGACTCATATATTGATAATCACTTTGTTAATATTTGTCTCCATTTAATTCACAAGGAAATGCTAACAAAGCACTACTTGATGCTAATGATTTAAGAGGAGCACAGTTAAAATACTGGTTTACCTTTGTAGCAAATAATCTTTAGAGGCTGTATCTACTATGTAGACAAGACCCATTTCTTGAGAATGAAACAGGCCACAGATTGAATATTAAATATTTTTACATAAAATTTCAAAACAAGATTAGAGCTAAATTACTATAGCCACTCAGAGCAACATAATTCCTAGTTTGTAAAGATGTAACAAAAGATGACTACAGGGAAAGGAATCCAGGCTTTTTATATTTCTATGTTGTCTAAACTTATGTTCAAATTAATAGTCCAGTAACACTTCTAGTACAACACAATGCTCACTCTCTGTAACTTTTCCCATTAGAAAGAGGGGGCTGGAAGCCAGAGTGCAGTAGCATTCAACATTAATTTGATTAAAGAGACAGTAACCTTTTTTGTCCACCTGAAGAAATCACTGTGACAAAACAAAAAAAAAATCTTTAAAAGGTACCACTTCCAATTTCTTTATTATCTGTAACTTTTGAAACTAATCACATGGAACTACAAAATTAGCAAATGCCTTGAAATCTTTATACAAAACATAAATTACCTCTAATTTCAAACTCAGTTATTAGTGTACCACTTAATTCTTAAAAAAGTGGCTCCAAAGATAGTCTTACACCATTCTTAAAAAAGGAAACTGTTCCTTTAACATCACACCCTGCCCTCCCCCCAACCCAAATCTCAATACACATCATTTAGTCATCCTCTTGGTCATGAACATTTCCAAGATGAGATTTTATATTCCGCTCCCATAGCTTCTGGTTGTCAGAAAACCCATGCTTTCCTTTATTGAAGGAATTTGGTCCTGCTGAGGTTGGTGTATCCCTGTGATAAACAGAAGATTGAAGGAGGATCAATTAAAGTACCCTGTGAAACTGGATGCATAAACACAGCTTTGCAGTTTCACCTTGCTAGTTCAAATCTAACCTATGTCAGCAGTGAACAGAAACCGTCACTACTGGCAGAGCTCTTTTAGCAGCTTATGTGAACCTGTGAACAAATGGCTATTTAACAAGTCACTTTTACTGACAGCTTTGTTAGCAATCCATAGGTCCTTCCATAATCAGGATGGAAGTGGAATCAGGACACAGTGGAACACAGCAGTATGGTGGGGACAGAAGAAGTAACCTGCAAAGCTGCTGCTTGTGAAGTACTTGGTTTTTCACATAAGAAAGAATTCTAGATTCAGATCCAGATCTTTCATTAACAATAATGATCCTACAGACCTCTGGCAGATATTAATCAATGTGTTAATTGTGCAATAAACTGTAACATGTTTAAACATTCAAACAATTTGTCATGCGGTAAAAATGGCAAACCAGCCGGAAATATGTTCCACACTTCATCCAGGTACATTTAACGTGGAACATCTTTCTAGCTAGTTTGTATCATACTTAAAATGGAACACATGACACACTGAAGGGCACCCAAAGAGCCCAGCTTGAGAGCTCCTCCCTGGTGCTGGACTATCCACAAGCCTACTGATATTTCTCGATTCACAGGGAGTCCGCCTCTGACACCAGGCTCCCAGGACACCAATGGGTTTAAAACTATGCCAGGCAGCCTGGTACTGGGGACCCTGATGCCAAGCTGAATAGTGAAGCTTTAAAACTTCTGGCACACAGTGGCATTCAAGGAACTTTATCCCAGATCCCCAAAATTGTGTGTCCTGCCACAGCAGATCTTGAACATTTGATCCCATTGTGCATGTAAATTAACATCTGTCAGGGGCCACAAAGACATTACCCTTTCAAAGTTACAAAATGTCAAACTGGCTTAAGAATACAAGGTCCAACATTCAGCCTTCATGTATGGGTGTAACTGACCCTGCCTGTATCAAAGCCTAATTTGGCTCTTGCTAACTTTCTCCAAGTTTCATCAGCTTACACATATTTCTAATACATACAAGGAATTCTCTTTTGTTTTTCAGCAAGAGATAAGCCTCTTTTTCCTACATGTAGAGATTTTAAGTTCTGGGCAGATGACAAAAAAGGTGTCCAGAAACATTTACACCATAAAGGTAAAACCAGAGTAGTTTGAGACTGCAAGGATCTGGAGTTTAATAATGAAAGAGAAGAACAGAAAGACTGCTAACACCAGGAGTCGCACCTAATTTTCACCTTTGAAATGTAGGTACAATTTCCTCTTACTCTGGAAAATGGAAGGGGGCATTTAAGTAGCAGTCCAAAACTTAAATCCAAGACAAAAAAAAAAAAATCTACCTCATTTTGTAGACTGTGGCTTTGTGAAGTTGCAGGAGCATGTTTGTCCTTCTGACATTACTAGACCATCAGCAATAATTCGCCCCAAGTTGTACAAGGTCCTCCTCCACCCTCCTTTCAAAGCACTGTTACACTAACATACCTTCCAATGTTCTTCATGCGCATCTTTGCTTCTGGAGGCATTTCTTCTGGTTCGCTCTACAGAGAAAATGTGAGTATTACAGAATGGTTAAATACTAGTGTGGCTACATTTTCATATTCTCCTGTTGACATGAAAATGAAGTGACACCCATATATCCTTAGGAAAGTGATACACTTTAAAACAAATAAGCCCAGACTCTTAAAAAGGAGCAGAAAGAAACTAGTACAAATTCCTTTGTTAGTCTCTTTATGAATAGAGGGGACTTTTGTAGCCAGCTCTCTATATATAACAATGCTGCTATGCTGCTATACTTCAAGCTACAGCACCGGGCCCATCTCCAAGCAATATGCTGCCACATGGATCAATGGAAACCTTCACCATCTAATATACCTAGCTTCCTGTCTTTTATGCAGCACAAGTGGGTATACAGTAGAAAAAGTGACAAATGTCATGAGCTACATACACTAGTTAGTTTCTGAGTGTCTCAGGGCTATTTAGATTCAATAGCAAGACAACAGTTGCATCAAAAGAAAGCAGCACTGAGAATTCGAACTGAAGATCTGGACTCAAGGCTCCTGAGTGAGAAACTTTTCCAGAGAAAACGTATCAGCATTTCTATCACACCAGTGGAAAAGGTCAGCAAAACTACATGTTTAAGGACAACACACAGACATTTCTCCACAAAAATGCCAATGCAGGTCAAGTGAGAAGTTAACATAGCACCTGCCCATGCTCTATAACTTGTGTCCCTCTATAATACATGGCAACCACCAGGTGTTATTTACTCACATCTTCATCTTCATTGAAAGCTGCTGCTACAGAAAGGGTTTTTGGAGCAAGGGTTGGAGTAGGCTCTTTAGGCTTCTGAAAGACAGAACACACAAAAATTAGAGAAGCTTATCTATTTGTCCAGGATACATTAATTTAACTAACCTTTTAAAACAAATGGCTAGAGTTGAGATTGAGATTTCTCTGAACCAGGCAGTTTTCCACAAATGAATTCATGGGAGCATCCACTCATTTGAGCAGGACAGTCTCTGATGATTTAGACAGATCCTCCTAGGTTTCAATTCCTCATGAGAAAGATCTTCATTTGTAGCAAACACACACCCTAACAGGGACATGTGGTCACTGTTGCATGATTTGAGCGATTAAATCAGAACCCGAGCAGCTTGCAGCAAATATGTCTTTTTATTATGTCTCCAAAACCGAAGAGGAATTTTTTTTTAATCAGTCAAATGCATTCAGCTTTTTTGCATTTATCTTCTCAAACTTTAATACTTGCATAATTTTCTAGATTAAGCCATCAATGATTTTTAAATTGTGGTTTTAAACAGTATGCCCAATTCAGAAGCAAGAGACAGCATCAGCTTGTTCAACACCCTGGAGGAGGGAACAAAACTCCCTCTCACTGACAACAATAGCTTTAATATAAACATTATGCTTCAAAAATATAGCAAAAATAGCAAACCATTAAAACCTATGATAGTTCTGCATGCCCTGCAATGCAGAGGGAATAAATGGTAGGAAAGAAAAAGGAAAACAAAGGATAGAAGACAAAATAGTTGCTAATAACTGTTTCTTTACATGTGTGGTTTGATAACAGTGCCTACTGGGGAAGTAGATAACAATGTCCTACACAACCACCTATAGGGAATAGCTGCAGCTACAAAATTTACTTCCTCTGAAGGCATCAGTACCACTATCCTGGATAAGAAGACAGGAGAAATGGTACCAAATCTGGATGCACCAAACTTTTCAACTGCATGTGAAGTCAGTCAATCACTGAAATCAGTGAACCAGAAAGTCTGAGCTAAAATTAGTGCCACTGGAAATAACTTTCAATGTAAGAAATTTGAACTTATAGCAACCCAAAAGACATCTTTTCTATTTTTCAAGGGCTGAGATGACTTCCATGTGCTTATGTACCAAAATGCTGTTTTTCCCTCTGATCGGAGAACAAGCCCTTGGAAAAGCATCCTACTGAGCATCCTCTTTTCCTCCTCTGCAGATTTGAAAACTGCTGACATTTTAGGTACATGATCTTTAAAGACCGCAGTTTTAACTGAACCTAAGGATTTATTATGCAGTCATGAGATACAAGAACTGTGGAAGACTTGTATTATGTAAACAACCAAATTCTTGCCTGCAACAGTGAGCAGTGAAGCAAGCTTTTCATTAGGAAAAGTATAGATCTAAAAAAGATCTGATCTATTTGATTGGTACAGGAATGCAAACCTCACTTCAAAATTACCTATCCTGGCAAGCAAGCAGGAGGAACACCTAAAGTTTGTCCTGGACAAGTAGAGATGTTAGGATTTCTGGAAATGCAAGGATGGCAATGAGTCCTATTTCTTGTACATTTTCTATGAATGAGGCAATGACTGAGTTCTTGCATTCTTAAATCAAGATTCAAAAGAAGCGCTAGGATAAAGAACTCAAGAAAAGAACAGATTTTTCCATGCCACAATAAAATCTTAAAATTGGAAGACCACCCACTAGATGATTCAGTGCACCTAGCAGTGCCTACACAAGATTCAGAGCTTTAAAACAGGTTTTGTAAATGCACTGAACACTGAAGCTCTTAGGACTTCCCTTCCTGGACTTAGTTACAACATTTTCCCAGATATTCAAAGATAGTTTAGGGTCGATTTAATCCTGTTAATTTTCTACTTCCCCCTCCTTTCTACACCCTCCAATACATGCATACAAGTAGATGCCCCGCAGCTATTTCCCACCAGCCAATATTGATGTGCTTTTGCCAAGCTATTCACATCTTGAGGATAAAGCCTAATGAAATTCAGAGTTGATCTCCCCAAAATACTCCTCCTTTCCTTTGCTTTTCTTAAAAATAAACAAAACCTTCAAACAACTTACATTTGCCCCAAGTTTGATGGATATTGCAGGTGCCTTCTTTGTTGTCTGACTGCCTATGGAAAATCCAAACTTGGACATTTTGGCAGGAGCAGGCTTTGTGGAGAAGTCTTCAGCTTCTTCATTAGCTGCCCGTTTCTCTGCGCTGCGACTCGAACTTTCCCCTCCATTACTGGAAGAAACAGTCTTAGTTTTCACAGGTTTTTCTGCCTCTTCTTCAGGTCCTGGTGAAGTCGAAACAACTTACCAAGATGAGCTATTTTTACTAAGCAGATTGATGGGAGCAGCAACCTCATAAAGCATTATTATAGGGAGGGTGCTTACAATGCTAGCAGTACTTACTAATGTCTAGTCTCTACTACTGTATACACAAACTCAGAAAGAGTAGAAGAAACTAAGTTTTTAACTAAAGTAATACAAAAACCCCTTCATATGTACAAAAGTCATAAAGTATCTTAAGTGTCACATCATTAATATAGGACTTGTATAGAAACTAAAATGCAATATTTTCAACCTTTTTAAGGATCACAAGAACTTTTTACATTTGAAATCCCATTTCATATCTGGAGTAGACAAGCTGAATCAAATTATTTTTGACATAAGATTGTTTGCATGGAGTGCCTAAGCCAGTCTCTAGGCTATCATCAAACTCATACAAGTAGTTGAAATGAGCCCAGTAGCCTCAATTTAGTTTCTACTCAATGTTTGGTCACACACCTTGTCTTTATAAAATTAACTGGCTCCGCTGACAAAAGGACCATCATCAGAATCGTGCAACTGAAAAGAGGAGCTTTAGGGAAGTTTGTATAATTTCTAGTTGTGCACAACATTGTGGGGAAAAAACACTTTATCTGTGTAACTGGCCCATGTTGCACACCATCTGAATTATGTCTTATTTGTATATACAAGGCTTTTTCAGCTGCACCAAGTGACAAATGGTTCTGAGAAATTTAATTCTGCTCTTGAAGTAGGTGAAACAATACAGGCATAAGTATAAATCAGATCCCTTTTTCTGCAGGAAACAATCTGTGATAACAGCAAGAGGAACACGGTCATAATTGGGATTAAAAAAAAAAAAAAAAAAAAAAAAATCAGTCTTTTGCTCCTGTTGCAAGCAGAAAATAGGAGTACCAGACAGATAACCAATTCAGATGTTGAGGACTAGTTTAGCGATAGGCAGGGCCCAACTGAAAGAATAGCTGTTCTAAATTGGGGCTTATGAGGATTGCAGAGAAAGAATTGGGAAACAAGCAAGATCAAAAGAAAAAGGCTAGGGAAATGCAAAAGCCTAAGAGTAAAACATTTATTCCACTTTATCAGGAAAAAAAATAAAATAAAAATCAATACTTATACAGATTTAAATTCCTAACTTTAAGGGACCCAATGTTTTCCTAAGTGCTCATTCATGGTGTACTCCAGGGGTCGGCAAGCCACGGCCCCCATGCCGAGCATGGCACACGAGGCCATTTTGCTTGGCACGCCATGGCCAGCCCCAGATCTGGGTAGCTGTTGCCAGCGACAGAGCCCAGGCTGCTCCCAGCAGGTGGCTTGGAGGCTGCAAGCCCTGCTGCAAGCAGCCCCGGCTCTGTCACTGGCAGCAGCTACAGAGAGCTGGAGTTGGCTGCAGCCGGGAGGCTCAAAACAGCTGCGCAAGGCTCTGGAGCCCAGGCATCAGTTCTGTACCAGCACATGCACGCGCGCCTCAGAGCAGGTGGTGGCGAAGGAGCGTAAGGCAGCGCAACCCCAGTCTCTCCCCCACTTCCAGCACAGAACTGGTGACTGGGCTCTGGAGCCCAGCGCAGCTGTTTGTAGCCAGGGCTCTGGGCAGCTGTAGCAAGCAGCGGGCAGGCTGCAAACAGCTGCGCCAGGCTCCACAGCTCTGGGATCAGTTCCATGCTGGCGGTAACTGCATGCACACCTCGGGGCGAGCTGGGCTGCGCTGCCCTGCTGTCTGCCCCGAGGTGCATGCACAGCTGCCCAGAGCCCTGGCTACAAACAGCTGCGCTGGGCTCCAGAGCCCAGTCACCAGTTCTGTGCTGGAAGTGGGGGAGAGACTGGGGTTGTGCTGCCTCACACCCCTTCCCTACCGCCTGCTCCCAGTCGTGTGCACACGCTGGTAAAGAGCTGATGCCTGGGCTCTGGAGCCCAGCACAGATATTTGCAGTCTCCCAGCTGCAACCAACCCCTAGCTCTGGGTAGCTGCTGCCAGCTGGGAGCCCGGGCTGCTCCCAGGAGGCAGCTGGGACACCACAAGCCCTGCTGGGAGCAGCCTGGGTTCCAGCAGCTACCTAGAGCCGGGGCTGGCTGCAGACGGGAGGCTGCAAACAGCTGCTGCCTTCTGAGCCCCAACAGGCACAGTACCAGCACCTGCTGCCTTCCTGGAGCCCAGGGCGGGAAACAGTCTGGGCCAGGATGAGAGGGCAGCAGCTGTTTGAAGCCTCCTGGATGAAGCTGGTCCCAGCTCTGGGTAGCTGCAGATAGCTGCTAAGCCCAGGCTGCTCCCATGGAAGCCCTGCTGCAAGCAGCCTGGGCTCCGTGGCTATCCGCAGCTACTCAGAACCTGGGCCAGCTGCAAACATCTGCTGCCTCCCGGCCCCGGGCTCCAGGGAGGCGGCACATACTGGCAATGTTCCCCCACTGTGCTGCCTTCGCCAATTCTCCAAAGCAGCGTTGGAACCCGGCTCGGCAGGGCACAGAAAGCTGCCTGCAGCAAGCTTCCCCTGCCCTGCCACACTTCCCCTGCAAGTGGGGGCAGCAGCAAGGAGCACAACCCTGCGTGCTGCCCACAGTGCTCCCATGCACACAGGGGAAGTGTGGCAGGGGAGCTGGGAGCAGGCAGCTTTCTGCTCCCCCTGCTGTGCCGGGTTCCAACACTGCTTTGCAGAAGCGGCAAGGGCAGCATGGCAGGGAACTCTACCAGTACGTGCTACCTCCCCAGAGCCTGGGGCTGGGAGGCAGCTAATGTTTGCAGCTGGCCCAGGTTCTGGGTAGCTGCTGACAGCCAGGGAGTCCAGCCTGGGGGGGCAGGGGCTTTGGGTGGGGGGCAAGGGGTAGCAGTGCTGGGGGGCAGGGGCTTTGGGTGGGAGGCACAGGGCAGCAGGCTAGGGGCAGGGGCACAAGCAGGGCATCCTGCCATGTACACCCTGCCCTCGTTTTTTTTTCTGGTGCACTCCAGCACCTACCAAGGTAGGCATTGTGGGGGTTTTCAGCACTCCAGCCAAAAACTATTGCCTACCCCTGGTATACTCACTACTCATCTTCCATCTATATGTAATTTCCCACCATGATTCCCAAACCATTCAAACTGCCCATTCATGATGCATCTTAACTAGGCAGCAAAATAGACTCAGACCACTGCTTTAATAGTCAAAACAACAACAGCCAGCTAACAAAACTAACATGAAAATTATAACCCTAATCTGTTTTATTAACTGCAACAACAACTTAAGTCTACACAGCTCCCAACTTGACTTAGAGAGAAAAAATACAGAACAAGAAAATAGAAAGGAGAAAGCTACAGACAAAGTTTAGCTTTTAACTAGCTACTGTGAGCAGTGGTACTAGTCTACCAACCCACTCTGTGGCAGGGTAAATTGGCTCATGGTGAGCTCCATGATGCCAAGGCTAAATTCTAAAGTCCCTAAGCTAGAATACTGAAGTCAGCTTAGGCACCTCTATACTAAACTGAAGCTATTTCTCTGCTATTTAGGCAAATCTTAAAACATTACAATAATGGTCTTTAAAAATTACTTCAAAGAAATTACTTATTTGAAGTTCAAGCCCAATTTCCCTCTCAATGTTAAGTCTCTTTCTCAATGTCCTCCACCCAATGTATTTGTTTTCTTATGATACTGCTTCCGTATTCTTTTTTCAGTGCTAGTCAGGTCATACGCTACATTCCCAGGGTAGATAAAAATCAACATTAAAAAAAAAATTGTATTTTTTTATTTAATTGTATTTTTAAATTTTTTGTTAAGATGCTTAAAAATAAACTTATATGAAGATAAATTTAAGATATGTTAAAGCTCAAAGATATCACCATGAAATAGGGATTATAACTTCTAATGATATACTATTTGAGACAATATATTCATATAACCTTTTTAGAAAAAGTTCTATAAATAGGCCACAATAGGCCATGGACTATATTATAGGGGCCCAATCTTTTTGGGGTTCCCAGAGGCTCCTCTATAGCTTAGTAAAGATTAAAGAAAACCACTGTACCCATGGGACTCAGTGCTTAGTCTAGAAGATCCCATTAAGCATCTCTGTGATGCTTAGTTTCAGTTCTCAAACTGTGGATTTGTCTCTCCACAGATCACAGGCAGACAAGGTTTTTTGGGTAGATGTGCTATCCTTTATTAAACCAACTAAATAGTTGGCAAAATTGTTCTTTCCAAGTTTTTGGGTACAAACACCCTTCTTCAGGCATAGGGAGAGTTTGTCGTCTCCAGAGATAGTATCCTTGTTAACAGCAGTATATGGAGATGAGAGAGATCAGACCTGATGATTACCCTCCCATCAACTATATTGTCTCTCTGCAAGTTTGCATACAGAGTCAAGCCCTTACCTTTCTCTAAAAGTGCAACATTTCAAGAAGTTAAACGAATAAAGGATGTCCAACAACAAGACTGCACTTTTTGTAGAAAACAATGATTAAATCAAGGCTTCCTGACGAGTGGTTTAAATTGATTTGATTTAAATCAAATCCACCCTATACATTCCAGAAGCATCAATTATTTTGGTAACTATCAAGTCCTGTATTCTGTATATAGGTCAAAGCAAGATCAAAGTGTTGGTTTCAAGGAAGTATTATTTACTTGCATATCAACAAGGATAAGCAAGGAGCCTGTGTTTCCACTGACATGCAGCACTGATGATGATAATTATATATCCCTCTCAAGCTTCAGCCTTGTTCATCTGTTAGATATTTCACCTCTGGGCAATAAGGTTGTGATGTGTAGGACCGTGACGCATCACAACACAGAAAGAACACCTTTCAACCAAGTTAACTTCTAAAGGCAAAAGCTAGAGTCCACTTCTTTTTTTAAACAAAAAGTTAAGGAATAACCCCACAGTTTCAGACACCCCTTCCTCTTGTCATTAAAATGGATGTTCTGTTTTATACAAGACTGTATATGAGACATGGCAAGCTGCATGCCTCTTGAAACTATTCAGTCACTATACTGCTACTATGCAAAATAACTATTTTCTAAAGCTTTAAGTTTCAAAGAGCTACATGAA